AGGACCCTGTTTCAGTATCGCAACAATTTTCATACAAATTTAAGGATTTCTTTAACATAGTCATTCTCCAGAGAGGTGTTCTAGGCAAAGTACAGAAATATTATGTTCAAAAAGAATATCAAATGCGTGGAGCGCCTCATTATCACATCCTCCTATGGATCGAAAATGCTCCTGTTGTCGGTATCGATCGTCCAGAAGAAGTCTGTTCTTTCATACAAGATAGAATTACCTGTCATATACCAGATAGTAATACGTCAACTGATTTAAATTTTTTGGTAACAAAATACCAAATGCACAAGTGCAGCAAATACTGCAAACGAAATATTAAAGTCGGCAAGACCTATGTATCTAGATGCTGATTTGATTTTCCTAGACCGGTACAAGATAGTATTTGCATCAATGATGTTGAAAATAGCTTGAAATCATGCAATAAAATATATTATCTCAAACAAAATGAAAAAGAAGTTCGAGTCAATGACTACAATCCTTTACTGTTGAAATTGTGGCGTGCAAATATGGACTTGCAATACATAGCAGAGAAGAGTCTTTCCTTAACAGAGTATGTAACTGGATTTGTCACTAAAGCAGAAAAGAGTCATGCACAGGACTTATGGAATGAAGTCAGCAGCTAGGACAACATATACAGCAGGCTTTGGAAAATCGGACAAAAATTACTTCAAACTAAAGAAGTAGGACTATATGAAGCTAGTGATCTTCTCGGTGAAAGTTTATACATGAAATCAGTAACCGTACAGTACGTTAATGTGTACTAGCTTCATAAGAGGAGCAGCAAAATCAAAAACTATTCATATTTAACTAAAATGGATAGATCTTCTAAAGACATTTTTAATCCTAGCATAATTGAAGACTTTTATCCAACAACACCAAATAACATGAAAGATGTATCTCTTTATGAATTTGTTGCCAATTACAAATTTGATAAAATAGGAGAAAATGGAGAAAGAGAATACAAAATTCGATCAAAGCAAGTCCTTCCAAACCATAGGAAATTTAATTCTATGCAAGAAGCGGAAAGAGATGATTTATATTACTCGCTAATATTTTTATTTGTGCCTTTTAGAGATGAGAGCACACTCGTAATGGAAGGAGAAACAATGGAAGAAGCTTTTAGGTGTCACAGAGAAACATCTATATGTGGCATTGAAAATCATTTCAACAAACTACAGAAATTATTAGAAGCTGAACGCAATTGGAAGAAAATAGTCGATGCAAGAAATAAAGCCGGCTTTACTGAAGAAGAACTTCCTGATAACAAGTAAGATGATGAGCCTCAATTATTGGGTGAAATAATGGAAGCAGTAGCTGATATTGCTGACATGCATATAAATGTACCTAATTTAACATTAGAGCAAAGAGAGACAATGCTTAATGTAGATCAAAAAAGAATTTTTGATAAAATTAAGAGTCGCCTTATAAGTCAAAAAGAACGTGAAGACTTATTAGAAAATAAGTGTTCAAGACTACTTAGATTAGATAATATCAAACCACTAAGGATGTTTATTAGTGGTGTAGGTGGAACTGGTAAATCGTTTTTGATAGAGGCAATAAAATGCCTAGTGGATGACATATGGCATCCAAAAAGTGGTGAAATTATGTGCTATAGTAGCACCAACAGGTATAGCCGCATTTAATGTAGGTGGACTAACAATACATAAATTATTCCAGCTACCAATAGAGCATGAGGGAAAAACAGCTGGATATTGGGCTTTGAATAAAGAAGCTCAGAAAAGGATAAAAATGACACTTAAAAATTTGAAAATTATAATAGTAGACGAGGTATCTATGGTATCCAATCTAAATCTAGCATACTTACAGATGCGCTTAGAAGATATATTTGGAACTGATGAATGGTTTGGATCCAAAAATATTTTATTTGTAGGTGACCTCTTACAATTGCCACCAGTTAATGGTAGGCCAGTATTTAATAAAATTTGCAACAAACTAGTAAAAACTAGACTTGGAGCAGCAAATGCAGTTAACATATGGAAAGAAACAGTAGAATATGATGAACTAACAATCAGTGAGCGACAAAAAGGAGACGAAACTTTCTTTAAAATGCTTGATTCTGTTAGGCATGGCTGTCTGACTGATGATACTATTGATACGCTTAAAAGTCGTGTACTTAATGTTTCAATACAAGAAAAATATAAGGAATTGGAAAGCGAAGGAACAAATCCTCCAATTTGCCTATTTTCTAAGGTAGATGCCTGCCAAAAAATCAATGAATTAATGTTAGAAAGTCTAGAAACTGAGAAAATAGAATTAGCATGTGTTGATGTTGTTGATGAAAGTGGCAGCACAGCAAAATTTGACAAAAAAACAAGAAAATAATTAGATAAACTAAAAGATCAACCAAGCAAAACAGCTGGTTTAGAAACTGTATTGTCTTTAGCAGTAGGTTGTAAAGTAATGCTAAGACGTAATATTGATGTGACTGTAGGATTAGTTAATGGTGCCATTGGTACAGTAATGGGTATTTATGCTGCACGTATGTCAATCAAATTTGATCATATTGATGTACCTTGTGACATAGAAAGGGTTACATCTAGATTTATGCTATCTAAGAATTTGTATATACATAGGAAACAGTTTCCCCTTATACTTTCTTATGCTATTACTATACATAAATGTCAGGGCCTCTCACTAGATGCAGCCATTATTGATTTATCGACTGATGTTTTAAGGGATGGTATGGCATATGTTGCATTGTCTCGTGTACGTACATTAAATGGATTACATTTATTATCATTTGATCCTCTCTCTTTTAAAGTTAGTAATCCGTGCATTAATGAAATTAACAGACTGAGAACTAATTTTCGGAATGACTTACCTCAAATCAAGAAAAGGAATGGAAAGAAGAGAAAGATTCAAGTGACTGGTATAATTGATGATGGTGAACTTTGTAGTAAGAATGCCAAGGTGTCTGAAAGTCATGTAGAAAGTACTAGTAACAGTACTGTTAGTAGCAATAAACGTAAGAGTACTGATTTACAAAAGTCTAATCACCCCAAAAAGAGTAAAATATGTGACAATAATGCTTTAAATAAGCCTTGCCCCCAAAAAAGAAAAGTTGATGTAGACAGTAGTACTGACAATACTGCTTTGGTATTGCCTCGCTGAAAAAAAGATTATAAATTAATTGTTTCAATTAATTTGAAAGACCTAAAAACCAAATTTAATGTCAAAGATGATGATAGTTGTAGTAGTCTCATTGTATCTATAAAACTCTCAAACATTAAATGTAAACCAAAAGATGATAAAACCATGTGTGTTGTAAAAAATGACCATTGTAGTAGTAGTCTGATTGTATCTATAAAACTCTCAAGCATTAAATTAAAGACAAGTAATCCAAAAAAAGATGATGATGTCATCTTTACTTATGAAGAGCCTCCCAACCCAGATTTTGTGAGAAGGAGACAATGGGATTATGTTTATTACCCTGGTAATGAAGAATATCAAAGAAGGTGGTGTGAGATTTTAAATCTCAAATTTGTCACAGCTGCTAGAATCTTACCAGGTAGTCCAACAACACCATTGTCAGATGAAAGAGTTCCTAAGTACTCTTGATGTCCCTGGTGATGGGAACTGTTTATTTTATGCCCTTTAATATCTCATTACTGGGTCAATTTCTCAGCATTACGAATTACGTAAAGCAATTGTTAGTAATATGCCAAACTTTGAAGAATTGTTTAATAGTACATTAAGTGCAACCAGATATTCAAGCATATATGATTACATAAATAAGTCCAAAATGTATAGAAATTGTGTGTGGGCCACTGACACAGAGATTATTACATTATCTGCAATATTATAGGTACAACCATATATTCATATTCACTAACTCCTACTTTTGTTGGCTGGGCTAGATATGGAACCCAAACTTTATATGGCATTCCTTGTGATACTAATACACCTGCTTTGTATTTGAAGCATGTTGGTACTAATCATTACAAGCAGTTAAGTCTATTAATATTTCTTAAGCATTGATTGTTAATGGAAAGTGGGTATGGTGTATGGGAGGTCCATCATCTTAAAAACAATGGTTGTTTAATGTGACTTATTATTCACTGCATGTGCAATGTGCATGATGTGTGAGTCTGAAAACCATTGGTGCGTATCCACCCAGTATTGCTCAGTATCAAGGGATCAAACTGCATTCAGGATTTGAGATTAATCAATGTATAACAGTGAATATTGATTACTTGTTGCTATAATGGACAGGGAGAGGGTGTGAAAGAGGTTTAGTGTTCATTAGAGTTTTGCATTGATTCAAATTTGTGTGACTATCATTTATGTAGGACAGAGGGTTAGGAAGGGAGGAAGCTGTCATTATTAACTCTGGATCTTGTTTGTGGCTTGTAGTACATGTTCATTACAAATAACAGGTGCTTATGGATCAGGGCTCTGCTAAAAAATTGTGAAGTCCTGACAAGAAAATTTTTTAAGTAACATTAAAATTTGTTATTTTACATTTAGTATTATTCAAGCAGTAATTCTGTACATATAATAATAATCATCATGCATGTTAATGCTGCCATCAATGCTGTGCGCATTACATATATGTAAATGCTTGCCAGCTGATGTTGCGCATAATACTGCCATCAATGCTGTGCGCATTATTAAGTTAATGCTTGCCGGCTGATGTTGCGCATTTGAATGATGCTGCCATCAAAGTTGTGCGCATAATAAATGCTTGACAGCTGCTGTTGCACATCTTTTATTGATGATTGTTGTAACATGTGCATGTTCCCATTAACAAAAAAATATTGTTTGCACATTGGAAATACTTTATGCCCACAATGATATTTTATATTAAGCAGGTCATGAAAGTATCTTAACTGAGGATGGCATCAGTAAGCAATATTATGTCTAAAATGCATGCATGCACATACATGTATGATCCAATCAGAAATATTGTAGATGCTACCATTATCATTATTAGTTAGTATGTCACATTCATACTTTTTACAGGTACTTGCGACTACAATGTGGTTTTAGAGGGTGAGGTTTGATGTGATTGGTAAGTGCTATTGTTATTATTAGCCAGTGAGTTTACATTGCTTGCTTTTGATGTTTCTATTACTATGCTTTACAGGTAATTACAGCTGGAATGATTTGCTGATTCAGCAATACCTTTGCTTATTATTGGAATGTGAAATATAATGAAAGGCAATTCTGTTTTTAGATTGTTGTAACTAAATTAATTTATTTATTAAACGTAACTTAATGTTTTGTTGCAGCTCCTTGATTAGTAGTTGTATCACGTGGTAGGAGGTGCCAGTTTACATATGTATAGGTTTTATATTACTGTATATAGTCTTAGCAATGGAATATGTAGTAAGATGGAGATTATTGTGAGATATCTTATGTATTTTGGTATAGGTTATGATTCTAGGTTACATACTTTATATTCATTTGATGATTATATCATTAATTATGGCCACAGTAAGTACTTTCTTTTCTCAA